GGGATTGATGGTGAAAATGGGCATTAGCCTTTTGATTCATAAACAACACGCTGATCTTGCCTCATAGAGAAACTCCCAGAAAAACGCTAGTGTCAATAACAGCACTAATTTTATAAAGATCTTCATTCTACACATCTGTGTGTGTATTCTATGAGGGACGTCCCGTTGCGATTACAGGAGCCGAGTGGAGTTGATAAAAGCATTAAAATCTGCACAAGGAGCAACTCGCGGCCACCTAGGCCCAGCAATTAGTGGGTAATTATTTCCCGCAATAACTGGTTTTGCTGCTCTTAAAGCCTGGTAAAGATAGTGTTATTTGGATTTAATTTCGCTGGGAAAGGTACTTGTAGTTCAGCGGTAAACTACAGGACCATGTTTTGGTTGTAAGTGACATTTATCCGCATGTCTTTTACGCCTGTTTTCACAAACGATGCTTGCTTATGTGAAGCAGCAAATCAAAGGCACAGCGTTGAATAGAGCTTTGTGATTAGTTCGTGTGTCACCCTGTGCGTCCTAGCGGACTGTGAGAGCTCATAGTAATGTTTGTGAATACGGGCGTAAGTAAGTATTTTGTGTCATGCTTGATTTATCTAGGCTACTTTTGAATTTTTGAAGGAGACCGTAACATTAGAAAATGCGTACATAATTCCCTTTAAAATCAATTACAGTACAAATTGCATACACTCATAGTCGTAGGTTGCGGCTCCTCTGAAAATTATTTGTAATACTTAAGTAATTTTAGGTACTAAAATATTATATTCCTAACATAAAACTGGAGAACCGTCTGTTAGCACCACAACTAATCACTCCAGTAATTAAGATGGCCTACGAACGAAACGTCGTAACTGCATATTATGTTGTAAACCATTTCCTTATAACAGAAAATTGCAGCGGTGCAGTTTTAACTGCGGGCTATTTGTATCTCGGAAGGATTATCGTAATAGATAGAAAATTACTTACAAGGACGTAATATTTCATCGGAAGAAAACGGGAGAGGCAGACAGCACACTGCGCTGAATTGTTTACAGCTGTTTTAGGTTGTCGCGAAAACTTTAGCAAAGAGTATAACGCATTGTGACTTTTTTACGTTTATACACATTTCTATACTATGTAAGAACTTTGTATTTTGGTTATTTTCTGTAATTACTTACGTAGAATGTTATAGCTACCTTTGGGATACCTACCATTCATGACAAAAAGAGCATAGCAGATAGCAAGACATAGCAGAAAAGCTTAATAAAGGATTTTGCAAAGACCAATAAAAGAAAAGAATTGATCAAGGCCATCAGTACTAGAACAATTAGAAAGTAGAGACTAAGAAGTAACAGTAGTAATAAAAAATAATAAAATAAAAAGACCATAACTCACCACTCCAATAAATATGATGATGGGCTTAGTTGGGGTGAAGTCACTAATGACGGTATTCTGGCAACATTGATTAATCGCCGATGATAAGGGGTAGCCCGGACAAATGGCTGTTTTTTCATTACCATTACAGCAAGGGCCCGGGTTCGAGGCCCATCTGGGTCGCAGATGCCACTCTAATTGCGTGATCGTGATGAATTAAAATAGGTGATTAGTAGAGGAGGATTTGTGAACATTCAGTAATGGATTAAAATATACCCTTGTATAATTAATTTTGGGTCTATTGCAGCCATTTTAATCCTTTTATTCTATGCAAAAACAGGCACAGTGTTGAATCCAAAGAAAGTAATGAAAAAATACTTCAAAGCTTTCATTTCGTTATGTGAAAACGCTGGATTCGTGAACCCAATTCCGCCTTTACCTAGAACAGACGTGCGTGCCAAAAGGGTACAAAAATGAACTCCCAAAAATACAGTTACATTTCTACTTAACCACTGCCCTTCCAGGCTGCTTTGATTACAAAATCCGCCCTAAATCTGCCGCCTGCCCTGACAATATAATATTGCCAATTTCGCACCACGGCTCTCCCTGCCGGAGAAAAGAATGTCAACCTGTTACTCATTTTCGTATTTTAAATGTGCTCATTTTTTCTCAAGTGGAACGTTTTATAAAATTTTTCAAAATGAAGATTATTTATTTCTTCAACTTATCAAATATTTACGGGTCATGGATTCGCTGAATATAATTTTGTATCGAGTTAATATTTGCTTGTGTTAGGAAATTCCACTCAGCCGTAATAAAACAGTTCATAGGATCCAGTGAAGTTTAATTTGTTAGATACTAAACATTTAGTAAAATTACAAACGTAACAAACTATAGCTACTAAAGACTGAAAGAAAAGTATTCATTTTTTTTGGGTTTTTATTTGCTCTACAGTAGTGTGCTAAATGAGCATCCTGCAAAGTCCTCTACATTTGTATCTAAAGTTAATAAACACATCGAACACAAAATAATAAAATAAACCAATAATTTAATAAAATAAAACAATGAACTTTACTTTTTAATCAGTGTAATAAGCGTAGCTTAACCGCGTTAAACCGAGGAAATATTGGCAGGCTGGCGATGATAAAATAGCCTTTTTACTGAGCGGGCGCCCTTCAGCAACTTTGATTATGAAAGCTGCCGTGTAATTCTGGGCGGCGCCCGCCCTGGATATAATAAACTCGACAATTTCGCGCCTTGTCCTGCCGCGCTTTCGCGTATATTGCGCGCGGAAGCGGAAGGCGCAAGAGCTTTTGACTTTTACGCGAACTAGATAAAATGACGTACTTAGTAGAACTTATTTGGCTTCATTTTGAATAAAAGTATTGAAAGTATCTTTGTCTAATCATTGAAATAGGTGAGGAATTGATACATTAAGGCTGGGTTGCACCATCTTACTTTGACTTTAACAAACGTCAAAAATCTGTCAAACTCCATACAAAATACGCCGGTTATCGTTCTAGTGACGGTTAAAGTTAGGTGATGCAACTCAGCCTAAATATTATTAAGTACTTCGAGAATCTCCTTTTAGTACATTTTGCTCCAACGAATGATCATCTCTACATCCGAGGGATAGTCCCCTAACAACCTGTCCCCTGGCCAGCACCGTGCCCGTCGCCTTACGTAGAGAACGGAGCCTCCCAAATTAACCTTCTCCGTTAATTAAGAATTGGCCGCACTAAGTTCCAGTTTAAACCGTGAGGCCCGCGCTGAATGGGATCTGTTATTATGCAAATTCCATTCTAACTTACGTACTTTAATAAAACAAACTAATTTTTGGTCTGCATTGTACCCCAGTTTGTAGCGAGGTACCTACAAACTTCGCAAATTACTTTTGTTTCGCTGTTAGATCGTTATAGAATTGGGGGGTTTAAAAAATCGTGCCATAAAGCGTCCTGGCACCTTTTAATTTAAACTTGTGTAATAAATCTCTGTAAACATTTACGTATTCCTAAAAAGTAAATAATGGAATCAAAAACAATAGATAGGGGAAATCCAACGCAATCTAAAACCAAATAGCGTTATTGAAAACAATAGTCGCAACTCACCGTCAACAAAACAGGCTGTATTGATGACTGCATTCATTAGTTTCGACCAGCTACTGTTGACAAAAATACACGTAGGGTCAGTGCACAAAAAAATGTTTTTGAAATCTTTATTTGCCAAACTGATGTATCTCTCGATTGTCTTTCAACAAAGAATAACATAGCGTCAATGAAAGACCAGTGCCGGATCATACATAGTGTTGATGATCAATCGATAAAATATCGATTTTATTGACGCAAACGATTGAGTATCACTATCGTAGTGGCGTTTTAACGATTTGATTAATACAGACCTGTCGCCACTTTACAGTAGATTTTTATTGATATCTTTGTTATCGTTGTTTCGTCTGTCAAGCTTTTAGTGATAAACTATTCTTTTCTAAATCTTCTTGTCGACTTACCCCAGGGAACTGGACTTCTAAAGACAAGTATTAAACAAAGTTTTGTGTGATGTCTTTAGGCCAAGGCAAACGGGAGACTCGAGAGGCCTGGGACTGGCCTGTTTCTGTTGGTTTGAACATGTTTCAAAACTAAGTTTAGTCAAATGTTTGTCGCCAGAGACCTGACTCAGAACTAGCAGAAGGCAAGCGACCAAGAATATTTAGCTACTTTTCAAAAGTCCATAAACGATATGTAAGGAAAGGAAGTTTTTAAGGCGAGAGTAAATAGGCTTTTACAGGGCAGATATTATTTACTATCCTAGACTGCATCTCATCTGACAAGGTGCGATTGCGGTCAAAAAAGTAAAATAAAAACATGTTTTTCATGCATCGCAACAAAAGTGTTACCTGACATTTTACTTTTTATGAATAGGTAAAAAGGGCTATTCACAAAGTTATGCGAATTTCATTTCACGACACAATTTCGAAACTAGAACACGGCGAAAAATTCATAAAACACACAAGAGCTGTATCGTCCAGCGCAAATTAAAATTTACACACCTACGAAGTCATGAATTTTGGACAGCTCAGTGCGGAATTTATTGCTGGATTGCGGGATTAATACCTTTCCAGCGGCTGGCTTTTCACTTTTATACCAACTGTGTGCTTTGTACAAAATTATTTTTTAAACTTGGCACCATAAAAACCTATTGTTAAGATTATTGTCGACAGCAGATTCAGAAATTTCTTGTTGCAAATTAGAACCTTATACTTCATCAGTTACATTAAAAGATACCACAATCCTTGCCTTAATGTGCCGTCAAACTATCTGAAATTAATTTATTAAAACCTCTTAACAGACGCATAAGAGTTTAGTCTTCATTGACGCCCAATTACAACCCTAATTTACTAGAACAGTCAGTTCTTTTGTCTCTTAAAAGGTCATTATGTGAGATTTTCTGAAGCAAAGCTAATGCTAAAACAAGCGTGATGTAGCCTGACCGTACTACCTGTTTGTTTTGAGTTTCACGGATCAACAATTAACCAACATCCAAATTCCAAACTTTGTTGGTTCCGATACTTCCTGTTCCAAATTTATTCCGTCGCGTGAACCGATCATTCATATTGGAATTGTTTTCTTAGTTATTAATTAAATTTGCTTTGTTACAGGTTTCGTGAAGCTCCGAATATTGACGGTAAGTTTCAAATAGTACCTACCACATTAGCTATTTTAAGCGCATGCTTCAAAGAAATTTTAATGATAAAAGTTGTATTCACAAATTGACTCATTCTATGAAGTCTTTTTTGTATGGGGTCAGGCAGGAGACAAATAAACAGAAGCTACAGTAGTAGAAGATACAGTGGATATTAAAAAATGTGACTTTCAACAGCTAATTAATATTTTTATGATAATACTGCTGTCTTTCCCGAAGACTGTAATCCGGGCGTTTTCAAGGCGAGAGTGAATAGGCACTTACAGGGCAGATATGTAAGTACCATCCTAGACTGCATCCCACTTAACATCAGGTGCGATTGTGGTCAAATATCTGCCTTTTTTATGCATAAAAAAAATATTTTTCATTCGTTTACTAAGTCAGATTCATTAGATTTAATGATGAAACAGTTTTATTAACCCCTCTCACGTGCCGCAAAAACAGACAATAGAAAAACAATTTTATTGCCTACAAATACTCCAGAATTAATTCATCATTCTAAACTCTATCTGGCTACCTAAACTACAGAATAAATACTAGTACTCCCCTAAATGCAAGATACCACGGTCGAATTAGTGAAATAAACACTGGTCCGTGCATTATTCATAGGGACACGAGCGTTCGGGGCTGAGCGGTGAGCTGCGAGCGTGAGCAGTTCGTTACGTATGTGAGAACGAAGCAAGCCGACTATAGAAATTTCACACTAAACTTAATAAGTAAAACAATATTTTTTTATAATAAGGAGTTTACGAGCAAGATTTTTAACGCTGATATTTTAGACGAATTTTTTGCTAAATATTTTTCTGAAATCCAAAAGAAAGGCCCACTTTTTTGCCGATTAAAATAATCCGCATAACGGAAACAATTCAGATGCAAAATTGAAATTAAAAAGCACTTTTGACGCAAGTTGTGTACAAAAACGAGCAGCGCCCAGACAGCATTGAAACCTTCCTAGGATTTCTTTAGCTTTTATTATTCTGCATTAAATTGAAGAAAATTTCTTATTTCGTGGTGGTAATGGGCTGTCATCAAGGAAAACGTTTTAAATGTTTACTTTGTTGAGAAATGTACATTTTATGAATTGCGGTAGGACGGTCCGCGTTGAATAAACATAATTTTAGTGTTACAAAATAAAATAGCAGTTAGTTTCTTGGCTTGCATTGTCTTTTATTTCTTTAGCTTAGGTATAGGTATTTTTAGTAGCTGGAGCATTTTCATAAGGGCTACCTTTTTATTGCGACATTCACGAGTGCCAAAATATTGGTCAAATCTTTATAAATATTTTTCATTTTCATTTCATAGTAATAGGACAGTACCTATGTGATAAAAATACACATACAGGGATACAGGACAGATATGTTACTTATTCTTTTCGTGCATAAAAATCTGTAAATATCTAAAATCGTATCTGATTAAATAAGATATTAAAATCAAGCAAAAACCAATAACGGAATGCAATATGGTATTATTGTATTCATTCATTCATACCATTTGCATTTCGCGGGATGGATGGGCCTGGGCCCGCAATTATATGCAGATCAGCCACTTATCTTGCGGCTCGGGATGACACGCTATCCTTTATCCCGACTCTAATAAGGGCCACCTAACATTCTTTATCAAGTCTTTACATAATATTCACGATTCCTCTAAGCCCTAAGGTATAGAATACATGATTTTGTTCCACTACAGGAATTTATTAGCCTGTATGTCACCTGACGGAAATTGATGGTGATGATGAGACCGAATACCGAGTATTTTCACAAGACCACTGAGGCGGTTAAAACCACTTTTAAAGGTACAAAAAAATCTATAGTGCTTAGACAACAAGTTGATCTCACAATAATTCGTTTTCCATTTTTGTTTTCTTCCTATATTATTCATTTTTTATCTCCATAATGGCAGCGGTTGCGGATTTGCATTCCGCTGGGGGCATATTTAATTTTCGAAGATTATGCATGCGTGTAGCCCGAGCTTTATGCTGTAGGCACACGAATTTTTGTCCGCAAAAAGTGCGTGCCTTTTTTGACATTTCATGAGTGATTGTTTTATAGATTATTCTTTCGAGTACCTACCTTGTCATGTTTTTCATAAAGATTTTATTGTTTAATCTCTCCTACGGCTTGAGAGGTGTTTCATTCATTAAAGATGAAATGATAAAATACTAGGAGCAACGCATACCAACTCCTTACTGCCAATCTTCTTAAGCCATAAAGTCCCTACCATCAAATCTGCTCAATCAAGAGTTATTATTCATAACGAAGTGTAGACCTCCACGTCCTGATTCCAGCTGATCTAATAATTGCAGGATATGCTAATAATTGGCTAAGGACTACGAGATTGGCTAAATTCCTTGTTATGCTCATTTGAGAGCCACTTTGGATGATGAAGACAACGAAGTGGACTAGAGGCCCTACTAGTAGACGATCTCCCAGACTAAGTAATTAAGCAGTCAGTGAAGTTATTCTTATTCTTCTTCTAAAAAGGTTTAAGCACCTAACTCTATTTTGAAAAAATGTTTTAAAAATGTTAACCCACCAAAAACATTTTCGATAAGTCGAACTGCGAAAAATCAATCAGATCTCATGTAGAGCCAAGCTTCGTAAGTTAGTCTTAATTTAGACTTAATAGTTCTTTGTGAACGTCCTACTCCTTAATTAAAAATCCATATTGTGGCTAAAATGGAAGCAGAAAAAAAAACTCTATACGGCCTAACTCTATACTCTCTAGTAAAAATCTCTCAGTAAAAATCTCTGAAGATTTATAAAAGTGATATTAAGTCTATTTTTTAAACATTTCTAAAACAACTTCATAACTGAAATTCCTATAATGTTTAACTACAATATCCAGCGTTAAAGATGGGAATTCCGCTCTAATACACACGGAGTGTCCCATAAAATGTAAAACACCGCGTAAATATGTAAGTCCGGGGACTGTAAAATTCATGTACCATTAAGAGTACGACATAAAACGATAAGTTCGGCGCCTCCCAACGTGTCTCAGGTCTTTTTGGGAGTTTACAAGGGTTGATTTTATTGCTGACCATACTGATCAGTATTTAACAGCTTCATTTGGGAAATGAGTCGCCGGCTGACCGAGATATTAGCATTTTTATTGTGAACGCAAGAGTCCACTATTGGACATGGACTTTTAGCAAGGCATCGAATTACCTCGAATAATCTGCCTAATTGCCTTCAATTAGCTATGCTTCAGGTTGTTTAAAATCATGGCATCAAGTTTTCCAAGAAACTTGTTGCCATTCATCATCGACATTTCCTTAAAAAATAATAAAGGTATTCTACAGATAAAACGAATTCTGTAAATTATTAAGATATCCTAAGTTATAATAGAATTCAGTGACTAGCTTTTTAACAACATGAATTCAACTATGTAATGGCTGAATCATGTAAACTAAAAGCAAAACCGCGCAAAAATAGACATGTCGCTTACGTACATACACGTCACTCGAATCTATTCCCTATTGAATTCATTATGTATGCGTGTTCGCTCTATTTTCGCAACGACGAGAGTGGAAAAATCGGATCGTGTATTAAACCGTCGGATTGTGTAAATCCTGTAAGTGCGATAGTTGAATGGGTTTCGTCTGTGTGTAATTTGACACTTGCTAGACGGATTTTGTGGCGACATTAAGTATTTCTACTCGAGGGCAATCTATTGATGGGGTCTGAAACATGTTTTGGACGCCATCCAAGGTATCGTATAAAATTTAATATCTTGTACATCAGACTTGATTTAAGAAGACTCAACGTCACTCAAAGGGCGATGGAGCGGGTTATGCTCGGAGTTTCCCTGCGTGATCGAATCGGAAATGAGGAGATACGTAGGAGAACCAGAGTGACTGACATAGCCCGCAGAATCACTAAAATCAAGTGCCAGTGGGCGGGGCACATAGCTCGTAGAGCTGATGGCCGCAGGAAAGTTCTTGAGTGGCGACCAAGAGCCGGAAGACGTAGCGTAGGCAGGCTTCCCACTAGGTGGACCGACGATCTGGTGAAGGTCGCGGGAGGTGCCTGGATGCGAGCGGCGCAGGATCGGTCTTCGTGGAAATCCTTGGGGGAGGCCTTTGTCCAGCAGTGGACGTCTTTCGGCTGAAACGACTGCGGTGTTTCGGACGTGAGTATGTCGCGAAGCTTCCCGACTATACAGACAGACTTTTTGTTGCAAAATAGTGTCTATCACCACTATATAAGGTGCACGTTTTTAACTTGATGACTAACCAAACCAATGCAGCGATAGTTAAGGCATGTTTCGATTGATAACTCCAAGTGGTAGCCACCTTTAAGTTTCACATAGCGGTCAGCCAACTCGGGCAGCCTTTGAATCATTAATACCGTTGTAGGCACTGAACAGTATGACAGACAATGAAAAGGCTACAAGCTAGGCCAGCAGTACAATTACACTTAATACAAGTTGCTATTGTACAGCTATAGGTACATGGAGAGGGNAATGCTGATCGATAGAGTCATACGATTCAAAACTAGCTTTAAAGTCTCTACATTTGAGACTTTAATTTTTTCTTGGGTAGTATTAGTATTCATTCATACCATTTCTTCAGCAGCTTTAAGCTTTAATTCGAAGCCTGAAAACAGTATTTCTAAAAACAGTATTTTGAAACTAAACCACTATTTTTCATCAATATAATGGCAGCGTAAATGTAGGTATTTCAAAGCCCCAGCAAAATAATTTTGGAGAAAAATCTTGCTATGCAGGCCAAAACAAACAACAAACAAGTGACGTCACAAATGAAAGAAATCCCTGGATAGCATTCGATACGCTCGACTTGATCCATCTGCATTGGTATTTGAAATTGATAAGAAAGATGCATTTTGCATCGATATTAAAAATACCATCTGTTTCAATCCACATTCCTAGAGTTGGCTATTCTGTGTTTCAATTTTGAAAACTTGCTGATATTTTTTGCATTTTGTTATACCTAAAAATACCTAAAAGGCGTACTTCGAGGA